TCCAAAGAAAATGAAAACACTAAGTCAGAAAGACACATGCACCCCCATGTTCAATGCAGCAGTGTTTACAATAGCCAAGATAGGGAAATAATCTGAGAATCTGAGTGACCCACAATCTTTATTCAAAGATGTTATATATATAACATATATATGATTCAGTCATAAAAATGAATAAAATCTTGCCATATATGACAACACAGATGGACCTCAAGGTCATTATCCTAAGTGAAGTAAGTCAGACAAAATACTTTCACTTATATGTGAAATTTATTTTTTTAATGTTTTTTTCTATTTTTGAGAGAGAGTATGTGGCCAGGGGAGGGGCAGAGAGAGTGGGTGACAGAGGATCAGAAGCAGGCTCTATGCTGACAGCAGAGAGCCTGATGTGGGGCTCAAACTCGCAAACCATGAGATCATGACATGAGCCAGTCAGACACTTAACTGACTGAGCCACCCAGCCACCCCCTCATTTATATATGGAATTTAAACAATAAAGGCCAAGCTCGTAGACACAGAGAATAGTTGGATGCCAGAGATCAGGGGTGGAAGGTGTAAAATGGGTAAAGGGGCTCAAAAGGTACAAACTTCCAGTTATAAAAGAAATCATGGGGAGTTAATAATATTGTATTGCATATTTAAAAGTTGCTAACAGTAATCTTAAAACTCCTCATCACAAGGAAAAACTATGTATGGTGATGATATTAATTAGACTTACTATGAGGCCTTTTCAAAATATATACAAATATCAGGGCGCCTGGGTGGCTTAGTCGGTTAAGCGTCCGACTTTCGCTTAGGTCATGATCTCACGGTTCGTGGGTTCGAGCCCCGCGTCGGGCTCTGTGCTGACTGCCAGCTCAGAGCCTGGAGCCTGTTTCAGTCTGTGTCTCCCTCTCTCTCTGACCCTCCCCTGCTCACTCTCTCTCTCTAGAAATAAATTAAAAAAACCTTAAAAAAAAAATTAAAAAAAGAAATCTTTAAAAAATAAAAAAAATATATACAAATATCAACACATTATGTTGTACATCTAAAACTAACATAATGTTACATGTCAATTATACCTCAATTTAAAATAAAAGATCCTTTGGGAACCACCAAAAGGCCTTTAGTTAAGGGCTTTATACTATAATTCATATAAAGGTCCCAAGAATGAGAAATAGAGAAAGGGAGCTAACATTTACTTAACTTTTGATGTGTACCAAGTGTTCCACACATATCTTATTTCATTTTCAACACTGAGTGAGAATGAGAGCCTCTCATTTGCAAGTTAAACAGCTCACAGGTGGTGCAGCTGAGATCAGAAGCCACATCTGATAACAGAGCCCATGCTGTACCAGAGAGAATAGCATAGGTAAAATAATCTGAGAGATGATGTTTCTTTCTTTTCCTGAAGGAGCCAATATTTAAACTAAACAGTTGATGAGACTAGATGTCAAAGATGCAGAGGCAGAAACTACCTGACAAAGAATAGTGGAGGGTAGAAGAAGAAGAAAGGGCAGTTATAAGACATAATATGGAGAGAACAGTACAAGGTACCATACAAAACAGAACTGATTGGACCAAATGCTATTAAAATTAGACAATAAGTATCTATCTGTATCTAAGTCTGTATCTATTTTTTTAAAGATTTTATTTTTAAGTAGTTTCCACACCCAATGTGGGGTCAAACTCATAGCTGTAAGATCAAGAGTTGCACACTCCACTGACTGAGCCAGCCACGTGCCCCCACCTAATTTTTATACCCCCACTTTAAAAAAATTGTTTTAATGTTTTATTTTTGAGAGAGAGAGATGGAGACAGCGTGAGCAGGGGAGGGTCAGAGAGAGAGGGAGTTATAGAATCTGAAGACCGGCTCCAGGCTCTGAGCTAGCTGTCAGCACAGAGCCCAATGTGGGGCTCAAAACCACAAACCGTGAGATCATGACCTGAGCCGAAGTCAGACGCTTAACCGACTGAGCCACCCAGGTGCCCCTCCCCACTTTTTTTTAAATGTTTTTATTTATTTTTGAGAGAGCGTGAGAGAGAGCACAAACACGAATAGGGGAGAGGCATAGAGAGAGAGGGACACACAGGATCTGAAGCAGGCTCCAGGCTCTGAGCTATCCGCACAGAGTCCAATGCAGGGCTCAAACCCATGAGCCGGGAGATCACTACCTGAGTGGAAGTCGGACGCTTAACTGACTGAACCACCCAGGCGCCCCTATGTCCCCAGTTTAAAAAATGTATTTCAGGAGACTAAGAATTAAAGAAAAAATGTTTTAATAATACACAAAGGTCATAAGTAATAGGTACTCAATATCAAAAACCCAAACTAAAATTATTACCAGGATTGATCATTATTTGAAGTACTCAGATTTCTGGCACTCAATTCAAAAGGGAAATACTATACAATGGATTGTATGATTTCTATTTGCCTAGGACTATTTACAGGAGATAAGCAAGATCTTGTTGAGAAACATTAAGAAGACCTAAGTCAATTGAGAGGCTTGTATTATTAGAAGATTCCCCAAATTTCTTTTATTTTTTAAGATTTTTAAACATGTCTGGGGTGCCTGGGTGGTTCAGTCAAGCATCCAACTTTGGCTCAGGTCATGAGCTCATGGCTTGTGGGTTGGAGCCCTGTGTTGGATTCTGTGCTGACAGCTCAGAGCCTGGATCTGGCTTTGGATTCTGTGGTCTCCATCTCTCTGCCCCTCCCCCACTTGTGCTCTGCTCTCTCTCCCTCCCTCAAAAATAAACATTAAAAACCTTTAAAAAAAAATGAGTAAATGTCTTTTATTTATTTTGAGAGAGAGAGGGAGAGTGCATGTGGGGGAAGGGCAGAGAGAGGGAGAGAGAGAATCTCAAGCAGGCTCCACACTGTTAGTGCAGAGCTGAATGTGGGGCTTGATCTCACAAACCGTGAGATCATGACCTGAGCTGAAATCAACAGCTGGACATTTAACCAACCGAGCCACCCCATTACCCCAAGATTCCCCAAATTTCTATTCACACCATTATAGATCCAATGCAATTCAACGTAAATCACAAAAGATGCCTATGTGGAACCAAGCTATTTCAAAAATTTATATGGAAATGCATAGGAACATAAACAGCTAAGACACTCTTGAGGAACAAAAGACGACTTGCTCTAAATACTATAAAGTCACAGTGAATAATATAGCATGATATTGCTGCAAGGAGAGAAAAACAGAGCAATGGAACAGAATATAATGTCCTGAAACATATGTAGACATAGGTGGTCACCTGACTTTTTACTAAAATGGTATTGCCAATTAGTGTAGAAACATGAACTTTTCAATAAATGATACTGGAACAACTGGATGCCCACATGCGGGATAAAATGAAATTAAATCACTATCTACATGAATCAATTCATGTAGTGTAAAGATCTACTTGTTAATAACCAATGACTAGAAAACTTCTAGAAGAGAATGTGAGAAAATCTTCATTACCTCTAGGTAGCAAAAAATTTCTTAAACAAGAACTAACCATTGAAAAAGATTTCTTTACATTTAAATCTAGAATTTCTATTCATCAAAAGGCACCAGAATGAAAAACTAAGCCAGAGCAGAAGAAAATATTTAGTCACTGTTAAACAGAAGATATATACACATATATATCTCAACTGCTGTAATCAGAGAAAAACAACCCAATTAAAATTTGGCAAAACATTTGAACAAGTATTTTACAAAAAAGGACATCCAGGTGGGCAAGAACTGGTGTTACGTTTCATTGATAATAAAGGAATTATCAATTAAATGTGATAACATTAAATATCTACCAAATTGGCAAAAATTTAAAAGTATAACAATGCCATGGATGTGGAGCAAAAGGAACCTTTGTGAACTCCTGATACAAGTAAAACATTTGCACAGTATCTTTAGAGAACAGTTTGACATTGTCTAGTAAAACTGAAGATATACAAACTCTATCCCTCAGCAATTTAAATCAGAATTTTAGTATATATGCTAAAGAAATGCAAGCACATGTGTACTGAAATATGTGCACAAAATACTAATAGTCACAATGCTGGTAATGGCCCAAAACTGGAAGCAAGTCAAATATCCATGAAAAACAGAATGGATAAATACTAAATTGTGATGTAATCAATACAAGAAAAAATATATATATCAATGGAAAAAATGAACTGTAGTTGCAGGAAACATGAATGAAGCTCACATTTTTAATGAAAAAGACACAGGAGAATATCTACTCATACAAAGAGAGAAAACAGACAAACTAAACCTATATGATTTTGGAATGCATACATAGGAACTAAAATTCTAAAATAAGCCGAAGAAAAGATCACAGTGGTTATCACCAGAAGAGCACAATTGTTTGTGATAGTGGAGGGGTATATCAGAGATTTCTGTAGAGATGGTTATATTTTCTTAGGTATTCCCTATATGAGTCTTTAGAATTATGTATTAAACAATACAAATAAATAGGATATGCTATTTCTGTATCTAATTTGAGAGGGGGAAAAAAGGCCAAAGGCATTCAAAATATGCACTTCTAGAAATGTTCAAATATTTTTAATTTTTAATCATGTGGGAAAATACTTAAATATATGTAAAAAATGTAGGCCATAGTGATAAATGCTGAATGAATTCAATTTTAAAAAATCACATTTTATATATGTACAAGAAACACAGTGGGGAGAAAATACAAAAAAGCAAGCATTGGTTTTAACTGGGAATGGACATTTTCTTCAAAATGTTTTAAATAATTGTTTAAAATAATGTTTTACTTTTATAAGTGAAAAGAAACAATATTTTTTTTAAAGACAGCATAAAGGAAAATTAAGCCATTTGACAACTTAGTAAGAGAAAATCAGGTTTGTGTGAGGGAGTAGGGTGTGGAGTCAATCACATTTTCTCAAAGGGGAAATTCCAGGGATCAAATCACTTGATGGACAAGAATTTTCAAGAGGAGGAAAGCAAGTCAAGTCCTGACAAAGAAAAGGGGATTTCGGGAAACAAGGGGAAACAGCAAACTACCTTGCAGGTGCCTTGTGGATTTTCAACAGCCATTCTTTCCTCCACTCTGGAAGCCTCTGTGCAAGCAAAGCAGAGCTGGGGAAGAAGAAAGAAGTCAGGAAACACCAGGCTCTTCTGGGATCCCAGGTCAACCAACCACCCCCAACCTATACATGTAGGTCAGGCAAGGCCAAGGTGTCCAGTTCAACACCAGCATCAAGACAAGAGTAGGGTCACTGCAGTTCTGGGCAGAATCTTGTCCCTGAGCTCACGGAGGTCTCCCGGGAACAGAGCGCCGGAGTCACAAAGGCAGACAAAGGCGCACCACAACTACAGTGCTGTAAAGACACATATTCCCACAAACTCATTCACGCCACGAGGACACAGGCACCCCAAACCTAAACACAACTGGCTGCACATGGTCACATAAGCATACACACCGCGGGGACAGACACAGTCACAATCGCAGTCACAGGCACCCCACGTTCTCACATTCCGACTGCCACACTTCTTGCGGACACGGTGACAACAACGAATTCACACGCACCCTACACAATATCACAAATACGCACAGCTTGGGTAAACACAATCACCGATCTCACAGTTAAGGCATCCCATACCCACAGTTCAGCAAACAGTCATAAACACACACACAAGAAGACACCCAGTTTTACAAACGCGGCCAAAGAACGCTACACTCGCAAACACCCGGTCGCACAATTACCTCATTACACATGAACAATCATAACCGCAAATCAAGCCCCCCTCCCCGCCCTCATAGTTCCGTACACGCTTACACTGGCAAGACACAGTCACATTTAGACACACACCCTCCTCACAATCTCCCCTTCTCAGTTGGCTCCCCTACACACCCCACACAGGCCAGAGGTTCCAGACACGCCGGCCCCAACCCCGGGTCACCTCACCTACCCGTCCTACGGTACTGGCAGCACTCCCCTACTCGACTTGGAACAAGTCGAACGCATCAGCTCCCACAGCGCCCTAGGGCCGTTTTCTCCAACCCGCCAGAAGTTACCGCCCACTGCTCGGGAGAAGGTCTAGTTCTCGCGGGAGGGAGCCCTGAGCCTTGAGGCCGCTGGGAGATGTAGTACAGAATGCGACAGGTTGCTGAAAAGCTGTCGCCTGGCTATCCCGATAACCCCGCGGCATGGAGCCTGGACCTAGCCAAAACTGCGCACCGGAGGCTTACGCGAGCGTCAACTGACAAGGACTCCGTCGACCAAACCGTAGTCAGGCTCCTCTGAGCCCTCCTCTTGACCAGGCCTGGTCCTTGACCTGCAAACCCTAGTTGAGCAAGAATCCCCCTGCCCTTGATACTTAACCAAGCTTCTCAGTAATTTTCTATCCACTGACTCCCTCCTGGGATTTTGATATATATAAATCCCAGCTGCTTGAGTTCAGTCTCTCTTCTCTAATTGCAATGGTCTTTCATAAAGTCTTCCTTACCTGTTGAACTTGTCAATTTTTCGTTGACATAGGCCCCAGAGCAGCCGTCTCCAGCTTTGGCAGCTCACCTGTAACATACCGCGTCCTACAGGCATCCTTCCCAGGCATCCTGGTAAGTGCAGTCCTGGCCTTCGCCAATGGCCAGATAGACCAGGCCAAGATAAGCTGCATCCTCTAGGAACGTGGATGCACTTAAGTGCCCTGATGTTGCTCAGAATTCTATTTTGAAGATGCTCTTGAGGAAGGCCGCTGCACAACTTGTCGGGGAGCCAGAAGAATGAACCCAAAGGATCTGTCCCCAAACCAGCCTGAGAAGTTTGAAAGAGAGAAATCTTCAGCTCAGTCATGTATTTGAAGGTGGGCAAAGGAGGTGTGAGACAGTGCTGAGATTACATGTGTGACACAAAGGAGGTGTGAGACAGCGGTGCGATTACATGTGTGACTGGTTGGAGGAGGATGGTTGAGTGAAAGAGAAACTGCATGTGAGTAAAATTGGTTAGTGTGACAGTGGTGGAATCAAGGTTATGTGTGGCTTTGTGAGGCTAGAGGGTCACATCATGAGTGAGGATGGAATAATTGTGTGCGTATGGTGGTGCAAGATTGTGTGTGGATCTGTGGGTAAGTGTATGAGTACTTGATCACCTAAATGTGGGTCATCTCAACATGGGTAGCTGAGATGGCGGAGGAATCTGAATCCTGCAAGCCTCATTTCCTGTTCAAACTGATAATAAGGCATGTCTTCCTGGAGCTTCAATTTTAAGAGAGAAAGGCTACATAATTTCTATAATAAATAAGTTGCAGCATTTTTATATAAACACTCAACATTCCAAACATTCATTCCAGAACAGAATAACAAATCAGTAAGACATTTTAAACAAGGTGTATTTTGCTATAGCGGTACCTGTTTTCCACATTTTTCCCCCCAGACATTTACTCTTCTCTGTTCTTTGGGAGTCATTGGTTGGGTAAACATTCAGAGACGTGGTTATTCAGTTCAACCAGGAGTATCAGCCACAATTAAAAGATGGCTCAGTGGGTTAAGCGTCTGACTCTTGATTTCAGCTCAGGTCATGATCTCATGGTTTGTGAGATCAAGCCTTATGTCGGGCTTTGTGCTGACAGCATAGAGCCTGCTTGGGATTCTCTGTCTGCTTTTCTCTCTCTCTTTCTCTCACGATAAGTCAAGAAACATTAAAACAATAACAGCTATTCAGAGGAATCTGTATAGCAATGTGATGCTGGAGAACTAGAGCAAAACAGTCACATTAGGCATGGATATATGGGTTATATATATATAACCCAGCTTTTGAAAGTAAAGTGCCATCTCTTTTCCATTTCTGAAATGTTTAGAACCATTACACAGTATAATAGATTCAGCTTTGAGATGCAAACTTCAGATATTCTGAAGTTAAGGTAAAACGTTATTTCTTTTACTCCTCTTTATATGGTAGCTTCCATATTAAAGGCCCAGGCTCAGTCTGAGTTTGGGGATTGTACTTGAATTCAGGTCTTAAGTCATTTTCCTTTTTTATCTTATCATATCACCAAACTGGATGACATCTTTAAGTTGAAACAAGTAGAGAGGCGATGGGTGGTAAGTAGAGGAAAGGTAAAAGAGGTTCTAAGTTGAGTAAGTGAGTGGAATAAGACAGAATATAGATGTTCAGCAAGAAATCTGACATCCCTGAAATGTTTTTCAGGATTTCCTTCAAAGATCCTCCTCTTCTCGAGTTTCAGTTGATGTGAACCCTTCTGTCCTCATTATTCCTCTGTCAGTGTCCTCTTTTATTTAAGTAATCTTAGAGGACCATATTCTGTTTATTTTCATAATCTACATATGCAGTCAGTCCTTCATAAATCTTCAGTCTTTCAAAACTATTATTGTTACACACTGCAGTTTCTTTTTATTACATTCCATTTTCTATCTTTCCATTGCTAAGAGCTTCAGGGTTGTATTTTACATCTGCATATCACAGTCATACTTCAGCAACCTTCATCACCTCAAAGTTACTAGCTTAATAACTTAGTGTAACTTTCCTCCTAGCTTTCCTTTCTGCCAACTTTTTTTTAATTTCATAATTGTTTTTATTTTATTTTTCCTTTTCTTTTTTAATTTTTTTTTTTTTTTGAGAGAGTGAGAGAGAGCATCAGCACAGCTGTGCACATGAGCAGGGAAGGGCTGAGAGAAAGGGAGACCCAGAATCTGAAATAGGCTCCAGGCTCTGAGCTGTCAGCACAGAGCCTGATGCAGGGCTTGAACCCACAAACCATGAGATCATGACCTAAGGTGAAGTCAGACTCCTAACTGACTGAGTCACCCAGGCACCCCATTTCACAATTGTTTTTAAAGGAATCATCTCATACGTCTTAAAAATGTAAACAAGGTTATAGTGAAAAAAAAAAAAAGAAATCTCCCTTCACTATTTCTCTTCTCCACATACATCTAGTGTGGCTAGTTGCTTATGTAAACTACTATGAGTAATTCTATGACTATACCAACATATCTATGTATATAAAGCACCTCATCTTTATTTTTCACAAATGTTAGTATAAAGCATCTTAATTTTTACTATTATTTCTTAGGAGACATCCCATATTAATACATATTCCTTGGTGTTATGGTGGCATAGTATTTTGTGGTACAGGAAATGTCATACTTTCATATCATATTTGTGAATATATAGGATGTTTTCAGGTTTCTACAATTCTGGGATGAATATCCTTATATATTCAGCTTTGTACAGATGTGCATGCATCTTAATAATAAATTCCTCTAAGCAGTGCTGAGTCAGAGATGATGTATAAATATTTGCAATCCACATAAGATGAATTGCTTTCCTTTCCCACCAAAAAAAAATTTATGAGAGTGCCTATTTCCTGTTCTTGTCAAACACTGTATTTTTCACTTAGCAGCTCAACTGACCTATTGAGACTTTATATGTGCCAGGCTCTGTTACAGGAAAGCATCAGTGGGAAAAAAGGGCCAAAATTTCCTTTCCTCAAGGAGTTTACATTCTAGTCAGGGTAAGTGGTCAGTGAACATGTAAATGAAATATATAGTATTCCAGATAAAGGTAAGCGTTAAAGAGAAAAATAAAGTTTGGAAATGGGATAGCAAGTGCCAAGGGAATTGCAATTTTATGTTTTTTAAAGTTTTATTTATTTTAGTAATCTCTACATCCAACGTGGGACTCAAACTTACAACCCCAAGATCAAGAGTTGTGTGCTCTTCTGTTTGAGCCAGCCAAGCATCCTGGTAATTGTCATTTTACATAGAATAGTTAGGAGAAGCCTAAAAAGAAAATATTTGAGCAAAACCAAAAGGAAGAAGGACTGACATTTGAAGATATTTGGATAAAGTGAATTATGAACAGAGAAAACACCAAAACAGAAATGCCATAGGTCGAGTACAAGCCTGGTAATATTCAAGAAGCAGCAACTTGGTCACAGTGACAAAGTGAAGAATAGTAGATGAGGAGAGGAAGCTAATGAGGGGACCAATTGTGGAAGGTCTTAGAGAGCATTGTAAGAACTTTGCTTATTTTTCTCAGTGAGATGTGAAGGCGGTGTTGGGTTCTGCACAGAGGAGTGACATGATCTGACTTACATTTAAAAGAGATCACTCGGTGTGTGTGTGTGTGTGTGTGTGTGTGTGTGTGTGTGTACCAGGGTGGCTCAGTCGTTAAGCGTCTCTTAATTTTGGCTCAGGTGATGATCTCATAGTTCATGAGTTCAAGTCCCGCGTCAGGGCACTCTGCACTGACAGTGAGGAGCCTGCTTGGGATTCTTTCTCCCTCTTTCTCTGCCCCTCCTGAGTTCTCTCTCTTTCTCAAAATAAATTGATAAGCTTAAAATATAAAAATACAATAAAAGCGATCATTCAGTGATGGCTGGCTGGTTCAGTCAGAAAAGTGAGCGACTCTTGATCTTGGGGTCGTGAGTTTGGGTCTCCTGTGGGGTATAGGGATTACTTAAATAACTAACACTTTAAGAGAGAGAGAGAGAGACCATTTAGGGTGCTGAGTAGAGAATACAGTATGGGGGACAAAATAGAGTGGGAGCATGGAGATTAGCTAATGAGCTATTGGAATAATCCAGGTAAGAGATGATAGTAACTTGGTCTTGAGTGATAGCAGTGGTAGTCATGAGGAGTTGGATTCTAGATATACTTTGAAGATAGAGCTGAAAGGATCAGGTAATAGACTTGATGTTGGAAATAAAGATAAGAACCTAGGCCCATGCAAGTATTTCAGCTTGAAAAACTGAAAACCAGAATTGTTATTTACTAAAATAAAACTAGGGAATGAGCAAGTTTTAAGGGGTAAATAAAGAATTTTGTCTCTGCTCTCCTAAGCCTCTGAGACGGTCCATGTTAAAAAGAAACATTTATTTGTTCTCAGTACCTGGATGTCATTTATAATAGTAAGAAAATTAGGGTTGCTTGGGTGGCACAATCTGTTAAACGTCTGACTCTTGATTTTGGCTCAGGTCATGATCACATGCTTCATGAGTTCAATCCCCACATTGAGGTCTCTGCTGTTGTGCAGAGCCAGCTTCAGATGCTCTGTCTCCCTCTGTCAATGCACTGTCCCCATTTACACGCACATGCACATGTACACGCTGTCTCTGTTTCTCAAAAATAAATTTAAAAAAAAGTGGGCAGATGGGAATTCTAGGGAAATCTATTAAGGTAAGACTAAACATAATAACAAATTGTGGTGGGTTAAACTGTGGTACCCCAGAGATATATCCACACTCTAACCCCAAGACATGTGAATGTGACCATACTTGGTAAAAGGATCTTTGTAGATGTAATTAAGAATCTCTAGGTGAGTTCATCCTAGATTATCTGGGTGTGACCAAAATCCAATGACAAATATCTACAGAAGATGAAAAGACATAGAGAGAAGGCCATGTGAAGACAGAGGTATAGATTGAAGTTACACAGCAACAAGCTAAGGACACCTGAGTCTAGTTAGGATTTTTTTTTTTGTCTCTTGGGAACATCTTGATATTTTTTCCCTTGTATTTTCATATGCCTTTTAATTTTTGTTGTTGTTGAAAGCCAGAAATTTTGTTTAGGACAGTGATGTGCAGAAAAGTCTTAAGATAGCAGACCTGAAAATTCTTATCTTAGAAAGGTCTGTTTGAACAGTTGGCCCTTGGCTTGCATCTAGAACTTAGATTTCCAGAGGGGTTTCCCACTCCTAGTTATTAAAAGTGGCTCACTGTGCCTGTGTGTGCAAATCATTTGGTTTATGTTTAATGCCTGTTTTCCTTCTGAAATTCTGGTATGTGCCTGACAGAGGCTGCCTGTGGACCAGCCCACAATAAAAACTTTAGGTACTAAGTCTCTAATGAACTTCTCTGGTTGGCAACATTTCACATGTGTTGTCAAAACTTGTTGCAGGGGAAATTAATGTCCTCTGTGATTTCAATTGGAAAGGATTCTTGGAAAGATGTGCTGGTTTTTCCTGGACTTTGTTCCATGAATCGTTTCTCTTTGCTAATTTTGCTTTGTATTGTTTCACTTTGAGTTCTTCTAGTGAGTCATTCAACCTTGGAGGGAGTGTTGATCTCGGGGTCCCACGACACAACAGTAACGAGGAAAATAACTTTCACCCTGAATGGGCATACATTTCCTTCTGCTAAGCCTTTAGTGTGGTGTTTTGAGTTAATTCAGTTAGAAGTTTTGAGAACTAAGCAAGATAAATTCATACAATTTGATTTGCATTTATGTAAATTTTAAAGATAGATAACTGACAAGCCAAGATATTTGTGGGGTCCCCTGATCCGATGGGGGCCACCATATGTGGCGTGACAAGATCTGGTAGAAGCTGATAGTGGGGGTGGTGAAACAATTCACCCAAAGCAGAACAAAGGAGATAGAAATTTATTGAATACACCGCAAGGAAGCAGAGGGCAGAAAGGCAAAGCAGAGATTGCAGTGAGGCAGGGGTGGGAAGCTGTAGTTAAAGAGAGAAAGTGAGGAGGTATGGTAACCAACTGAATTTTCCTTTTTATGGTCCCTGTGTCCTGGTGTAAGTAACCCATTGGTCAGCTAGGACTTATGGATACTTTGAGGTAGGTCACTTAAAGAGCAAGTTTGTATTCAGCCAGGGGGTTACTATGGGCCCTTCTACCTTACTCAGGTTTCCACTGTTGAAGTTGATTGCCTAAAAGAAGCCTCCACAATATTATTACCCCACAGGTCAGGAAGGATAGTTAGTGGTCAGCTGGGACCTGGGGATCAGAAATATCACATGCATAGGCTGTTTCTTCTTGAGATATCAAATATACTCTTTATTAGAGTATACACTGTTTATTAGAGCATCACATTCTATGCACTTCTCTTCAGGTCTTTTCTATTTCACAATAAAAATATTTTAAAGGCAATTATTTTCCTTTTTTCTGTTTTTACTTTTATTTGCATGTATTTTATGCAGAATTTACTCCCAGGCCATAAGTTTTTATTTCTTCAGCTTCTTCTGGGATATCTGTGATATCTTCTGTGCAACTTCCTCTTCTGGTTTAGGAACAATCTGCTCTTTTTCAGTGAGGATCATCTCAATGTGGCAGGGAGAGCTCAGGTATGCGTTAATCTAACCATGAGCCCTGTAAGTTCTACGCCGCATCTTGGAGATTTTGTTCACCTGGATGTGCTCGATAACCAGAGAATCTACATCTAAACCCTTAAGTTCAGCATTACTCTCTGCTTTTTTAAGCATGTGCAGTAAAAATTCATCACTCTTTTTGGGCCACCAACCCTGTGTCCAGCCCCACTGTTTGGCCTGGGCACACCTACCAAAGGAAAGGCACACATTGCTTCTGCAAAGTGACATCTTTAAGATACTTGGTGGCTTTTCGGATATGCATACCCTTGATGGCCTGGGCAGTTTCACGTGTGTTCGTAAAGTGAACACGAAGATTTGAACCTCTTGATTTGCATGATTTTGTCGGGTTTTCCGGGTCAAGTGAATAGTGAACCATTTTCAGAGATCACCTCAGGCCGCGCACGGGAAGAAGCTAAAGGCAATTATTTTTAAAGGTTGAATTTGAAAGTACTGAAAGAAGTCACTCCTACACCAGAAAGTTTAGACATACTGTTCATCTACATAAGCACAGAAAAAAGGAAGCAAATTTTATTTTTATTATTTAAAAAAAATTTTTTTTAATGTTTTATTTATTTCTAGGAGAGAGAGAGAGACAGCGTGAGCAGGGGAGGGTCAGAGAGAGAGGGAATCACAGATTGAAACAGGCTCTAGGCTCTGAGCTGGCAGTCAGCACAGAGCCCGACGCGGGGCCCGAACCCACGAACCGTGAGATCATGACCTAAGCGAAAGTCGGACGCTTAACCAACTAAGCCACCCAGGCGCCCCGAAAGGAAGCAAATTTTAAAAGCCAGCAAGTATCAGGGGGGAAAAGGCTAAGACATGAATAACATTTACAAAACACTAATGTAAGGAATATTAATTTAAACCAAACTGTCTAAGGGTAACTGGAGGATGGGAATAAGGTAAGTATTTGTTTGAGGATGTACGGGACATTATACCTCATTAAAGAAGGAGCTCCCATGACCTCGCAGATAGGGGATCCTCCTGGGGCCGGGCCCCTTCATTCTACCCCCCAGGTCGAGCCTTGCGCAATAAGAGATATCCACTAGACCTGGCCAATGCTCAGACGGAGATGGTAAGGACTCGCTGGTCATAGGACCATTCTGTCACACCGTATCTATCAGATGCCCAGATAAAGAACTCAACCGGCAAAGAATTACACCCTTCCTTTGAGCTCTGAACTACGTTTCCCAGGGGCCATCGCGTCCAAAACAACTTCCGGTCGAAAGGCCTCGTTGGTTTACTGTCCAGGTTTCCTGACTGGAGCGCCCATTTGTTGGGGAGCAGCGTGGAGGACTCGGTTGAGTCTTGCATTGTAAATGCGTCTGGAACTAATAGAAGCCCCTGGCCACGGATGTGAGCAATTATAAGGGCGATGGTTTTTGCCTAGGGAAAGGATGTTGCCCGGGGCCAAGGCCTGTGAATTGAGATCGTCGCCTCTGAAAGGCTGTCCCGGCTCTAACTGCATTTTCCAATGTCCACCATAGCCGAGGTAGATTCCTGTCCGCGCACTGGCCCTTTCAGGACCATAGGAAGGACCGTGTCTGAGTACCTGCGGAACATTCTTGAAAGGACCGCAGGGTCAGGTAAGAGTCCTAAGATCCGCAGCGGAATGACCCCTGAGTCCACGGCCACAGGGGAGCATAGTGAGGGCTTAATGTTTTCGGAGTCTCAGGCCTTGTTAGCAAGAGGGTTTGGAAAGGAAGATGGTAGGGAGCTGTGTTTGCGTATATTCGCTCCCGCACCAGGGATCTCGATGGGATCTGTGGGTGCTTGTGTGAAATTGCTACGAGATCGGGATATGGGTAATCGCTCAGGAGCCGTGGGGTGCTGTGTGTGTGTGTGTGTGTGTGTGTGTATGTGTGTTTGTGCGCGCGCGCATTTGTGCGCTTGTGCACGATGGTGACGCGAGCTGTACGTGATAGTAATGACTATTTAGGTGTGACTGTGCATGTATATGATTGTGACCTCACCACCTTGTGCGTGACCATGTGTGTAAATGTGGTTACAGCAGGAGTGGAGCCAGAAAAAAAGAATATCGTGTTTAGTAACAATAGGTCATTCGTAAATGTGTGGAGAGCATTTTCTGTAGTGGCGGTTAGTTGGATTGGGTAGGGTAGTGTAGAATGAAGGGAGAGGAATAGGAGACAGTGTGGACAAGAGTTCTCTGTAAATATGAGCAGAGAAATGGAGCAGCATCTGATTGGGGGCGGAGGGGGCGGAGGAATACCGTCTCACGGGAGAGGGGAAAAGTAGAAGTGCAGGTAAGAATCAGTAAGCCAGGTTCAAGAATAAAGCAGGGTAGTAGTGTTGCAGAGAATGAGCCATGAGCTCAAGTTTTCCAAAAACAAAGGGAAATATCCTGAGATGTGGTGAGTGTATATGATCTCATGGCATGAAATTCCAATTTAGATCTTTTCTAGAGGAGGGAGAAAGGTCTGAAGGTAATAAAAGCAAGGAGGATACCTTCCCTGCTTCCAAATCCAGTGGCAAGAGTCTGTAGGGGGTGGAGGAGGGGAATGTAATAAAGTCTGTAGAGTCCTCTGGGGCGACCCAGGTTTCCCTTAGACCCAGAGGTGAAGGGAATATTCAAAATGGTTGGAGATAAAAGAGGGGTTTGTTATTAATGAATTACGAATTCCAGAGAACATACTAGAAAATGTCAAGAGTTGGGGAGGGACGAGAAGAGGGGACATTCAACTGGTGGGGAGTACAGTGTCTGAAAAGAGATTATCAGGGAATCTAGGGCTTATGATGGACATAAAAATGGATACAGGGGATATTGATGCTTATTCTGCTTGTATTCAAGACTGTTGGATGGGAAGTGATGGGGTAGAAAGAGGTGGATTTTTGAATATCTGTCAGAAGGGGGAGCCATGGATAGAAGCTTTAAAGATGGTTGGGGTAGGCAGCGTAATGCTGCTACATAGGGCCTAATCCCTGGAATTTGTGAATATTCTGCTTTATGAGACAAGAAGATTAAGTTGAGGACCTTGAAATGAGGGAGTTAGCCTACATTATCCAATTAGGCCCAAATCTAATCACATGGATTTTTTTTTAATAGTTTATTTATTTTTGAGACAGAGACAGAGCATGAGTAGGGGAGGGGCAGAGAGACACACACAGAATCCGAAACAGGCTCCAGGCTCTGAGCTGTCAGGACAGAGCCCGACGTGGAGCTCGAACCCACGAATGGTAAGATCATGATCTGAGCCACCCAGGCACCCCTCACATGGATTCTTAAAGTCAGTAAATGTCTCCAGTCTGAGGGAGTTATGATCAAAGAAGATTGGTCAGAGATACGCAAAATTGCTGACTAAAGGAAGGGAGCCAATGCTGGTGACCTCTAAAATCTGGAAAACTTAAGGAAATAAATAATTCTCCCCTAGAGTCTCCAGAAAGGAACACAGTCCTGTAACCATGTCTGACTTATACCTAACTGCCTAACTGTAAGATAATAAATGTGTATTGTTTTAAATCATTATGTTTATAATAATTTGTTACTCAGAAAACAAATATAGTGCTATAGTGTCTTTTTTTTTTTAATTTTTTTTTTTTAATGTTTTATTTATTTCTAGGAGAGAGAGAGAGAGAGAGACAGCGTGAGCAGGGGAGGGTCAGAGAGAGAGGGAGTCACAGACTGAAACAGGCTCCAGGCTCCGAGCTGGCAGTCAGCACAGAGCCCGACGCGGGGCTCGAACCCACGAACCGCGAGATCATGACCTAAGCGAAAGTCGGACGCTCAACCGACTAAGCCACCCAGGCGCCCCACAAATATAGTGCTATAGTGTCTTAGTCTTTAGTGCTGTGGAGGGGCCTTGAGCCCTAATGACCTGAAGGGAACTCAGTCCCTATTGGTTAAGTTGAGGAATTCAGATAAAGCATATAGGCTCCTTCTTCACTTGTAATTCCCAGTTTTGCTGCATGCTGCATTGTGATTTCTTTTAAGTTTTTAAAATATTTTTAAAAAATTTTAAAAATATTTTAAAAAATATTATTTTGGAGGAGAGTGTGAGCAAGCTGGAGAGGGGCAGAAAGAAAGGGAGAGAGAGAATCTTCTCTTGAAAGCCCCATATGGGGCTCAATCTCACCACTGTGAGATCATGACCTGAGCTGAAATCAATGGCTGGATGTTTAACCAACTGAGTCACCCAGGTGCCCTTGCATTGTGATATTTTTTTAACTTTGGAATTTAATGAACTTTTCTTTGTGATCTAATATATGGCCAGTCTGGTCATAAGGTAAGTTACTTACTTGTTTTCCACTTGATTTGTCTTTGATTTATAAAAATATAAAAATACTCTGAGAATGCAAATTTATCTTATATAATCTGTAACTTCCACTTTAAGTTGCTTCTGGGAGTTGATAATATAGATATTCATAATTATTTTTGTCGTGAACTTTAGGCTTTTGTATTTTAGAATACTCAAGATCATGGCCCCTGCTTATTATTTTTTGTTTACATTTGCCTTGTCTATATTTTTCCATAATTTGCAGTATGAACTTTTTATTCAAGTTTATCATATATGTAGTCAAGTGTATAAATGATGATACAATCAAAACTGTACAGCTTAAGTGAATTACCACAAAGGGAACACCCATAAAATAAGAGCTCAGATCAAGAAGTAAAACGTTACCTGCACCCCAGAAATCTCTCTTGTGCTTCTGTTCAGTCAGGACCTCCCCCAGAGTAACCACCATATATCAGTTTTGTCTGTTTTTTTAACTTATACATGTATAGAATCATATAGTATGTAATCTTTTTGTTGGCTTCATTTGTTCAACATTATGTCTGTGAGATTCATCCATATTGTCTGTGGAAAGAGCTTACTGTTCACCGTATAAGGTGCATGTTCCAGTGCATGAATATACCAACTGTATTTGTCTCTTCAACAGTTGGTGATATTGTTGATGTGCATATGTGTTGTTTCATGAATAATAATGCTAGGAGCATTCATACACTTGTCATTTTGGGTTCATACGCATCCATTGTTTTGAGTCTATTTCTAAGAGGAAAATTGCTGGGTCATAGGGCAAGTGAATCTGTTTAAGCACATAATCTCAGTTTTCCAAAATAGATGAACCAAGTAGTACTCCCATCGACAGTGTGTGCAAGTTCCTTTTTTTTTTTTTCAATATTTTAAATTATTTCTGAGAGAGAGAGAGACAGTGTGAACAGAGGAGGGTCAGAGAGAGAGGGAGACACAGAATCTGAAACAGCCTCCAGGGTCTGAGCTAGCTGTCAGCAGAGAGCCTGACGTGAGGCTCAAACCCATGAACCATGAGATCATGACCTGAGCCGAAGTCGGAGGCTCAACCGACTGAGCCACCCAGTTGCCCCCAGTGTGTGCAAGTTCCAACTGCTCCCCTTTCTCATGAACACATGGCATTATCAGACTGTAAAATTTTTGTCGAGATGGTGGCTATATACTGGTACTACATTGTGGTTTTCTTAACTTAGACTAATGAAGTTGAATGCTTTTGTTTTAATGTCTATGGACCATTTGGATATCTTCCCTTGGAGAATGCTTGTTCATATCCTTTGCCTTTCCTTTGAGGAAGCTGTTCAAATTTGGGGGAACTTGTCTGTTCTTTTATTGTTGATTCGTGCAAGTTCTTTATTTAGCTTGGATGTGAATCCTTTGTCCGCCCTTGTATTGCAAATATCATCTAATCCATGGTTTGCATTTTCACAAGTTGTTTTCTGATAAATAGAAATTGCTTTTTAAAATGTAGTTTTATTTTAAAAATAAATACAAATCAGGCAAACCATGAGAGACTCTTGAATGCTAAGAACAAACTGAGGACTGATGGGTGTGAGGGGGAGGGAGGAGATGGGCATGGAGGAGGGCACTTGTGGGGATGAGCACTGGGTGTTATATGGAAACCAACTTGACAATAAACTATTTGTAAAAAAACTAAAAATAAAAAAGAAATAAAAATCAAAAAAGTAAAATATAATTTTGTTATTTTTCCCTTTGTGGTTTGTACTCTCTGTTCCCTATTTAAGAAATCTTTGCCCATCCCAGAGACATGAAGGTATTTGTATTTTCTTCCTCATTAATATGTTTTACATCTAGGTGTACAAACCTCCTGGAATTGATTTTTGTGTATGTTGTAAGGTAAAGATCAATTCATTTCCCCCTTATAGATATTCAGTTGACCTGGCATCATTTGTTGAAAAGTCCATCTTTTGCTGGCGAGGATGTGGAGAAACGGGCACCCTCCTACACTGTTGGTGGGAATGTAAACTGGTACAGCCCCTCTGGAAAACAGTGTGGAGGTTCCTCAGGAAACTGACAATAGAACTCCCCTATGACCCAGCAATAGCACTGCTAGGAATTTACCCAAGGGATACAGAAATGCTGAGGCATAGGAGCACATGTACCCCAATGTTCATAGCAGCACTCTCCACAATAGCTAAAACATGGAAAGAGCCTAAGTGTCCATCAACAGATGAATGGATCAAGAAGATGTGGTTTATCTATACCATGGAATACTACATGGCAATGAGAAACAATGAAATCTGGCCATGTGTAGCAACATGGATGGACCTTGAGGGTGTTATGCTGAGCGAAATAAGTCAGGCAGAGAAGGACAAATATCATATGTTTGCACGTATAGGAGGATTAGGAGGAACTTGACGGAGGACCAAGGGGGAGAAGAAGGGGGGAAATGGTGGGGGAAAGGGAGAGAGGCAAACCATGAGAGACTCTTGAATGCTGACAAAAACTGAGGACTGATGGATGTGGGGGGGAGGGGGGGATGGGCATAGAGGAGGACACTTATGGGGATGAGCACTGAGTGTTATGTGGAAACTAATTTGACAATAAACTATTTGTAAAAAAAAAAAAAAAAAAAAGTCCATCTTTCCTCCCTGCTCTGAAATCTATCTTGTCTCATAATGTAACCATTCTAGCATCCTTTTGATTATGATTTCTATGGTATATCTTTTGCCATCCTTTTAATTTTAACCTTTTTATACCATTATATTGCAGATAAACTGACATCTTGAAAATAATCAGCCTTTCATGTCATTAATATGATAAATTCCTCCATTCACTTAGATGTTCTGCAATTTCACTGTTATTTGTAGTAATCAATGCAGAGGCCTTTAACTTATTTTGTTAAATTTATAAGTACTTGAAGTTTTTGTTGCTGTTGTAAAAGCTGTCATTTAAAAAACTTTTTTTGAATGTTTATTTATTTTTGAAAAAGAGAGAGAACATGTGGATGAGAGGCAGAGAGAAAGAGAGACAGAATCCAAGGCAGGCTCCAAGCTCTGTGCTGTCAGCACAGAGCCTGATGCAGGGCTTGAACCCATGAGCAGAAAGATCATGACCTGAGCTGAAGTTAGACACTCAACCAACTGATCCACCCAGGTGCCCCAAAAGCTGTCATTTTATTTATTTATTTGTTTGTTTGTTTATTTATTATGTTTTAAAATGTTTTATTTCTGAGAGAGAGAGAGACAGTGTGAGCAGGGGAGGGTCAGAGAGAGAAGGAGACACAGAATCTGAAACAGGCTCCAGGCTCTGAGCCGTCTGTCAGCACAGAGCCCGACGCCAGGCTTGAACCCACGAACTGCGAGATCATGACCTGAGCCAAAGTCGGACACTTAACTGACTGAGCCTCCCAGGCGCCCCCAAAAGCTGTCATTTTATTTATTTATTTGTTTGTTTGTTTATTTATTATGTTTTAAAATGTTTTATTTCTGAGAGAGAGAGAGACAGTGTGAGCAGGGGAGGGTCAGAGAGAGAAGGAGACACAGAATCTGAAACAGGCTCCAGGCTCTGAGCCGTCTGTCAGCACAGAGCCCGACGCCAGGCTTGAACCCACGAACTGCGAGATCATGACCTGAGCCAAAGTCGGACACTTAACTGACTGAGCCTCCCAGGCGCCCCCAAAAGCTGTCATTTTAAATCTAACTTTTAATTTCCTAATTTTTGCTTGTATATTGAAATATAGTTGACATTTTTACTCTCTTTGACTTCATGTTTTTATTCTTAAATATTTCTGTGTTTCTACCAATGACTTGGCTGATATCCTTTCTCAGTTATTATATCCTTTCCCAGTTATTATAAATGATATCCTTTCTCTGTTATTATAAATGAGGCAATAAGTGAGCTTGTCTCTTTTCCATTTTGTAAACTTTATCCCTATATTAGTTATTGCTATAAAACATACTACCCTAAAAAACAATAAATATGTTTTATCTTTTTTTTAATGTTTTTTTTTGTTTGTTTGTTTTTTCTGAGAGAGAGAGAGAGAGACAGCATGAGCAGGGGAGGGTCAGAGAGAGAGGGAGACACAGAATCTGAACCAGGCTCCAGGTTCTGAGCTAGCTGTCAGCACAGAGCCCGACGTGGGGCTTGAACCCACGAACCGTGAGATCATGACCTGAGCCAAAGTCGGCCGCTTAACCTACTGAGCCACCCAGATGCCCCTAAATATGTATTATCTTAACACCATTTTTGCAGATCAGGAACTTAGGAGTGGCTTAGCTGGGAAGCTCTCTCTGGCTTAAGGTGTCACAAAGTTGCAGCCAAACTCTTGGCCAGGCCACAGTCATCTGAAAGCATGACTGAAGCTGGAGGATCACTTTCCAAGATGGTTGCCTCACATGGCTGTTGGCAAAAGACCTCAGTTCCTCTCCATGTGGACCTCTATAAGGCTGCTATAGTGTCCTCGTGACATGTCATATGGCTTTCCCCAGAGCAGAAAGACAGCAAGAGAGCGTACAGTAGAAGCCATATGTTCTTTTTGACCTATCCTTCTATTCCATCATTTCAACAATATCTTCTTGGTTCATAAGTCTGCTCTATTCAATGCAGGAAGCAACTACATACCTTTGGAACTGTTCAGCATACTGGTACCATAATCTTCATCTTATTTTTTAGTTTAGATTTGCATTTAACTATGTTCATCATTACTGCTTTTCCTGATGTTTTCTGTATTGTCTCTTTTGTGGTGAGAATATGTCCTCTAGTAGTTTAGAAAGCATTCCTGGGAACAATATTCCCTAAGTTCTTGCAGCATAGAACTTTTTATATCCTTTATACTTGAAGGACAGCTTGGTTGCATATAAAATCTTTGACTCTGGAGGCCCCTGGGTGACTCTGGGGGCACCCGCGTGGCTCAGTCGGTTAAATGTCCGACTTGCGCCTCAGGTCATGATCTCACAGCTCATGGGTTCCAGCCCATTGGGCTCTGTGCTAACAGCTCGGAGCCAGGAGCCCACTTCAGATTCTGTGTCTCCCTCTCTCTCTCTGCCCCTCCCCGACTTGTACTCTGCCTCTCTCTTTCAAAAATAAGTAAACATTAAAAAAAAATTTTTTTTAAATCTTTGACTCTATCATTTATTTTCCCACAAGTATATTAGAGAGACCACCTCACTATTTGGGGAACTGAATTTAGCAGTGGAGATGTCTAATGACAACTGAATTTTCTTTTTCTCATGGGTAACTTGATATTTTTATCTTGATTTCCCATGGCTTTTAGCCTAATAATTTTATTAGGAGATGTTCTGGTACTGACCATTTTGAGTCATTTCTCCCTGCAATATGGAGTGTCTTTTCATTATGTATATTCATTCTCTATTTCAGGAAATTATGTTTTAATGTTAAAAATGTAGTTTTAAATATTTGTTCTCTGCCTTGATTTGGATTTCATCTTTAATTGCAAGTTGGATTGTCTCTGATTTTCATTGTTTTCTTCCAATAATTTGCCATCTCTTTCTTTGTTTCATTTTGTTCCATTCATTAATTTCTGTATTCTTTGTCCATGCTACACTTTCTATATTTGTCATACCTTGTGCTTCTTGTAGTTTATTCTTTGTTTCTAATGTGGTTTTGCCTGTGTTCTCTTTCATACTTAAATTCAACTAACTCTTGCGTATAGTCTATTCATTATTGCCTCCCCATTCCTGAGATCATTGTAACATTTGTGCATGTGGTCTTGCCTCGGAGCTGTGATTGTATCATCAAATATTTTTTTACTTATGTGGAATGTTAGATAATACTTCTAATATTCCCTGATGACTTTTAGACAGTTTTCTTTATATATATATATATATGGGAATTCTGGCATTCTTTTCAAACAGTATCTTTGGACACAGTGCTTCTAATTTTGTTTTTTTTTTGTTTTTGTTTTTGGAATGTGATAGATTACCTTGGAACAGCTATCACTGGTGCTTTCCTCTCAAAAGGTAGTTTTTAGGTTTTTCTGATCAAGAATTCTCTCCTCTGTTACTACATTCTCTCCTCTGTTACTACAGTAGAAGACAATTGCTTTAAAATATGGTTCCTCTGAACAATGAGGTTTTCTTTATTGTTCAGAATGTAACCTGGTTCAGGAGGACTTATACTATCAGTTTTGAGTTCCCCAGTGTCTTCTCTGTTGTAATTAAAGAATACAGCCAATCCCCCAACTTATTTGATGAGGCCAATATTACCCAGATACCAAAACTAGACAAAGCATATCTCATAAGAATTTGAGTATAAAAATCCTTAACAAAATACTTACAGATCAAATCCAGCAACATATAAATGCATGTGGAATATATCCCAGGGTTGTCTGAACATCCAAAAATCAATTAATGTGATATATTATATCATTAGAATCAAACCCCAAAATTACAAGGTCATTTTAATAGATACAGAAAAAGCATTTGACAAAAGCCAGTACCTTTTTATTATAAAAATACTCGGAGTTTAGAAAAGTTTTAGGATACAAAGGATGCCTGGGTGGCTCAGCTGGTTAAGCATTTGACTCTTAATTTTGGCTCAGGTCATGATCTCATGGTTGTGAGTATTGAGTGTCAGGCTCTCTGCTGGTTGCTGAGGCTGCTTAAGATTCCCTCTTCTCCCTGCCCCAGAAAAAAAATGTAAAAGAAAAGTTCAGGATACTAGATCAGTAGATAAAAATCAAGTGTGTATGTATACACTTGCAGTGTAGAGTACAAAAATGAAATTAAGGAAATAGTTCCATTCGCAATAGCATCAAAAACAAAATATTTAGAAATAAATTTAATTAGTGAAGTATAAATCTCATACTCTGAAAACCATAAAACAGGTATTCAAATAAAAACTTGTACATGAAAGTTCATAGCAGCATATTTATAATAGTCAAAAGGTGGAAACAGCCTAAGTGTCCATTAACAGATGAATGGGTAAATAAAATGTGGTCTAGGTCATACAATGGAATATTATGTAGCCATAGAAAGTAATGAAATATTGATACATGCTACAACTTGGATGAACCTTGAAAGCATTATGCTAAATGAAAGACACTAGTCATAGTAAGTTCACATATTATAGGATTCCATTCGTATGAAAGTCCGGAACAGGGAAATCTATCTATAGAGACAGAAAGTGGATTAGTGGTTACCTAGGACTGGAAGAGAAGAGAGGGAGAATGAGTCACTTGGATTTTGGTTTGGGCCAGGATCTCTGCAGACTCCCTCTGACCTTTCTTCAGGGAAGAAATGGCATTCTTAGTCCATTTGAAATCTTTTAGGAAAATATGACCTTTCACGATTCCTTCCCTCTTGCTCTGCTTTCTCAGGACTCTGCTTCACCAGGAAAGGAATCTAGAAGACTGATTCTTGGAATTTTAAGTCATGGCCCATGTGAGTTGGAATTGCCTCTTTCCAAAATTATAACCATTTATATCACATCATATGAGTATTTTTATTTCTTATCCTTAAACTACTTACTTGAGTCACTATTCATTGTGGTAAGTGATAGCTGGGAAACAGTCCACTGCCTTTCCTAGGTGTCCCTCTTCTGTCCAACACAGCATTCAGCACCTTCTCTGTCCTAATACTTTGACAGAACACTGAAGAAGTATTTTCCCTTAAAGGAAGTAGTAGAGACTTTCTTTTCAAATCTGTGGCTTAACAGAGTGGAACTGAGTGGCTAAAAGGGATACACTACATGAAAGCCTTTATGTACTCTGTAGAATGGGGTATATCAGTTAGTAAAGGTGAGTGTTGGTATTGGTTGGTATTCATTTTAGTATATGGCACTTTATCGTGCTTTTAAATAGAGGATATGATGGAAGGTTAAGTTAAGAGAGATCAGGGATTTTTCAGGAAATCAGTGAGAGATTAATATTAACAAGACATGTGCTGATTGTTAGCTACTTAGCCAAGAGCCCAGAGATTTTATACATTCCCACAGAAAATGGTATTCTCCACAGAAAATGGCATTCAGTTAAGGAGGGTATCTCCTCCAAGAATCCTTTCAACTTCAGCTAATAGAAAATTCAGCTAAATAGCCTAAGGTGGGGAGAAAACTCATGGCACATTATCTGGAGTTAGTCATTTAAACCTGCTGTGGCATCCCAGTGGTATCAACAAAGAACTCGATTCTGGGCTGCCATCCTGTTGTCTGGTGTTTGTCATGGGAAGGTCATAAGGATTTTGTGACTGAACAACGGAGATTTTAAGAGCATACAGACATTCAGCTTCCATGTCATTCCCCACCCCACCCCCATACTACAGGCAGCCAACTTCAGTTTTCTGCTCAGTGAGTATTCCACTTCCTACAGTGCCCTTTTTCATTTGTTTCCCTTCTATCTAAAAGATTTCTTTTAATTTCACCATTGGTGCTTGGGGTTGTTGTTTCAGCAGGTTATGATGTTCAGGGATGTAGCTGTAGACTTCTCTCAAGAGGAGTGGGAGTGCCTGGACTTGGAACAGAGACATTTGTACAGAGCTGTGATGTTGGAGAACTACAGCAATATGATCTCACTGGGTAAGATTCAGAACTTGACCCCAGAACTTTCTGCTCTCTACACTGTGAATTTTTGAATTGTCTTTCAAGTGTCTAGGGGAATTTCTGACTTCTTTCTGGGAAATTGGCTTATGCTTTGTAAATTTGGTTCTAGCAATCCTCAATGGGAACCTCCACCCTCTCCATCCTTTAGAAATACTTTATGCTTTTTTCTTGTTCTTCCTATAATTATTTTTCTTCCTTCAAAACCAATGGACTAGATGCAGACTTTGAAACCTTTACCACTTGGTCATTTCCTGTTTCTTATCTCTGATCAGGACTTTGCATTTATCAGCCAGATGTGTTCTCTTTACTGGAGAAGGGAAAAGAGCCCTGGATATTTTTACAGGATGAGACAAGAGGACATTGCCCAGGTGAGTGAGGGTTGAGCCACCATAGGGACATCATCATTGCAGCAAAGAGCCCAGATGTTTTTTTATTTTTTTTTCTTTTTTGTTTTTTACAAATAGTTTATTGTCAAGTTGGTTTCCATATAACACCCAGTGCTCATCCCCACAAGTGCCCTCCTCCATGCCCATCTCTCCCCTCCTCCCCCATACCCATCAGCCCTCGGTTTGTTCTCAGCATTCAAGGGTCTCTCATGGTTTGCCTCCCTCCCTCTCCCCAACTATTTTTCCCCTTCTTCTCTTGCATCGTCCTCCATTAGGTTCCTCCTAATCCTCCTATAGTGCAAACATATGGTTTCCGTCCTTCTCTGCCTGACTTATTTCACTCAGCATAACACCCTCAAGGTCCATCCGTGTTGCTACACATGGCCAGATTTCATTCTTTCTCATTGCCATGTAGTATTCCATCATACAGATAAACCACATCTTCTTGATCCATTTGTCCGTTGATGGACACTTAGGCTCTTTCCATGTTTTGGCTATTGTTGAGAGTGCTGCTATGAACATTGGGGTACATGTGCTCCTATGCATCAGCACTCCTGTATCCCTTGGGTATATATTACCCTATATCCTTGGGTAAATTCCTAGTAGAGCCCAGATGTTTAGTGAGGCAGCAGCATCTCTGAAATGTTGGACTCACGTTTCCTCCTCAGGGCATAAAAACCTGTTGGATAAAGGCCTGAGACCTAGAGCCAAAAGTGACCTTTTCAACATGAATTTCTAAATGACCCTTCTCTTCACCTCCAAATACCACTCCTGTTCAGTCCTCTTTATTTTCTTTTCCTTGTATTATAAAAAGATGTCATTCTTTTTCTACTGGAGTAGTCAATTTATCAATGCTTTAGTTCAGTTTATTTCTGTTTTTTTTTTAGGTATTTATACATTTATTCATTTAGATATTTGTAAATTTCTCCCTAAAATTTTTTTTGACCTGATTTTTTATTTTCCCTGCTATATCTTGTATTTTTCTACTCTGCCTAAATTCTCCTTGCTTTTGTATTTCCCGCACTCATTAATTCATCCTTTTAACTAACGTCTGTTGATTTTGCAATTTCATTTTGGGATAAGAAGGGTTAACAAAGAGTATATAATCTATCAAGAAACTTGTATTCTTTTTTTTCTACTGGAAGATATCCATAAACTTGGCAAAATAGGCTCCACATTAAGAGAACACCTAATAAGCTGCTTAGTTAAAAATCAGGAATACAGGGGAAAATGGCTTCTGGCTACAGTGAATAGGAAGTAGCAGAAGAGAGGTTAAAGCTAATGGAGGACAACAAAGAAAATGCAGTGTCATAAAAGACAAGTCCTAGCTGTCAAGAGGAAACAAGGGGTATATTTGGCAAGTTGAGGTTAATTGATGAATTTTCTGTTATGGGCAAGAATCAGATTGAAATAACATACTGTTGGAGCTTCTTTTTTATTTGAAATATCAAGGAAAGAAAATATATTTTATTTCCTTACTGGAATCATGTTTGTAAATTCCAGAAGCTATATTTTGTATCTTAAAATTGTTCTTTTTCTGACTGTTGATACCTGCAACAACTTGAAAGAATCTCAGGGATATTGTGCTGAGTAAAAAATGACAACTCAAAAGGTCACATGCCAAATGAATCCATTTATAGAACATTCCGGAAATCACAAACTATAGCCATTGAAAACATATTAGTGGTTGCTAGGGGTTAGGGAGGGGCATAAAGAGGGAGCATATGAGATAAAATTGGTGTAGTAATGGTCTTGGTCTGTGTCTTGATTGTGGTGGTGGTTACAGGAATCCACATATGTGATGAAATGACATAACTATACATATGTGTTGTGCCAATATCAGTTTCATGGTTTTGATATTGTGCTTTAATTATGTAAGATTTATTCATTGAACAAAACTGGGTAAAGGGTACTCTTTGCAACTTCTTGTGAATCTATAATTACAGTTGACTCTTGAACAACTTGGGGTTTGGGGGCACCGAACCCTTGCACAGTCAAAAGTTCTTGTATAAATTTTGACTTCCCAAAAATTTAACTACGAGTAGCTTACTGTTGACTGGAAGTCTTACCAATAACATAAATTAACACATACTTTATATGTTACATGTGTTTTATAATGTTTCCTTAAAGTGAGCTAAAGAAATGTTATTAAGAAAATCATAAGTAAGAAAAAATAAATTTACAGTACTAGGAAAAAAAACTACATATAGGAGGATCCATGCGGTTTAAACCTGCCTTGTTCAAGGGTCAACTGTATTTCAAAATAAAATCATTCATAACATATTCTGGTCCTTAAGGTCTATGCAGTTTTATATTTTTATTCCCTAAACACTGCTATATGCTTTTAAATTTTTGGTTAATTTTCACATACTATGAATGTTCTATTGTATATAAGGTTATTCTGTATTTCTTGTTACTAAAGTTACAAGTCTTGGTACGCGTCAATTATTCATGGGTTTTTTTTCCGCATTGGATGATGTCTCAGATAAGAAATTCCTTGACCAAAGGATAAAGTTAGAAGACTTTAATTTGTGCCCAATTAATTTAAGGTAGTTAATTGATTAATCATTGAAAAAGTTACTTTAAATCCTACAAAATTATGTGAATACATTAAACTATATTTATTTACAACCTATAATCATTTCACCCATGTTTCATTATAGGGCCAGGACATGCTCTCCCTAATTGGAGTTCTGCCTATTCTTTCTTATATCAATCACACTAATAATTCATTCTCCTAATTTGTTTGGTTTCTGTTTTGAATAAGAATTTAGTCAATCTTACTGGAGAATCTCTTTTCCCCCTAGTCTTTATAATTGACTCTAAACTACTAAAATAATATCTGTAGCCTTCTTAAATGAGTTTTTAGAGTATTCACTTAGTTTTCATTAAAAGCAATCTTTCTCTCAATTTCTTTATATATGATATTAACATACACAAGTTAAAATGTCAAAAACATTTGGTATAAACAAGTTTGGAAACATATAGACTCATGGTAAACTCATGGGTATCTGAGAGGTAGCTATGACTTTAATATATTTGTATATTGTGGGAATTAATATTTATGTTTTCAGAAGGATCAGAGGGCATTGGTTCACATGAAGGTCAGGGATGATATCAGTTTCAACATAGTCTCACTACAAATGAGTTATTTTTATTTTTTATTTTTTTAATGTTTATTTTTGAGAGAGAGACAGTGCAAGCAGGGGAGTGGCAGAGAGAGAGGGAGACACAAATTCCGAAGCAAGCTTCTTATAAGTTTTTTTTTTTTTTTTTTTTTAAATTTTTAATGTTTTATTTATTTCTAGGAGAGAGAGAGAGACAGCGTGAGCGGGGAGGGTCAGAGAGAGAGGGAGTCACAGACTGAAGCAGGCTCCAGGCTCTGAGCTGGCAGTCAGCACAGAGCCCGACGCGGGGCTCGAACCCACGAACCGCGAGATCATGACCTAAGCGAAAGTCGGACGCTTAACCGACTAAGCCACCCAGGCGCCCCTCAAGCTTCTTATAAGTTTTATTTATTAAAAAAATTTTTTTAATGTTTAATTTTTTGAGAGACAGATACAAAGACAGGGAGTGAGTGGGGGAGGGCAAAGAGAGAGGGACTCACAGAATTTGAAGCAGTTTCCAGGCTCTGAGCCATCAGCACAGGGCCTGATGTAGGGCTCGAAGTCAGGAAACATGA